GCCCCGGCCACTACGGCAAGCTCGCGTCTTGCCTCCATGCTGCTTCGTTACGCCCCCAGACCAGGAGTTCGAGGAGCCGGGGAGAGCTCTGCCCGCCAGCTCGTTTCTCCCCCAGCCAAGAGGGCGCGATTCTTGTGGAGTGGGGGCTGTGGGGCAGCTGTGCGAAGGCGCCTGGGGAGCTGGGGAGGCGCCCCGTGGCGCGCTGCTCCGTGCCCTGCCAGCTGGTCCGCCGCCCTCTTTGGCTGCGCGACGGGGAGGCCTGCGTTTGCTTTGGGCAAGGCCCTGGGGTGCGCTTTCCCAGGGACGGGTTGTGGGACTGGCCTCACAGCCCCGGCTGTGTTTGCTGCGCGGTCAGCCAGCGGCAGCCACATCGCACGGCTTAGCTTGGCTTGCTTGTTCCTGTCCGGGCTGAATCCGGACACTTCCTTTATAGTTTAGTTTAGTTCAGTTCAGTTCAGTTTATTGTTATTGATTAGCCATTAGGCCATCTCAAGATACAGAGCATAAAACATAACTTTCTTTATAAGATGAGGGAAGAATATCATACCTCTGCTGCAGCCCGAGCACTTCAGGCGCTGGGGTGCTTCCTTATTTTGAGTTTCACGATTAGGAAACCCTTCCGCCGAACGGCTCCAAATACTGCCACAACTTTGATGAATGGCTAGATTAAGTTAGATTTAGATCGAAAATTCAAGGCAGCAAACCGAGTTAGAAACACTCAGTCGGTTACGGAAATGCCACCACGGTGGGGAAAGAGGCACGCTGCAACCCCCACACACCCACCACCCGGGCCCTGCCCTTTGAAGAACTGCCAGCCACGCCCGTCAGCATTTCCTCATTGTGCCTCTGCGGCTGCCTGGTCAACGTGCAGTGTTTTAAAACACTACCTAAAATAGTCACAGTTAAAGCTTAACCGCAGAATTGTTTATTTTTAAATGATGCATTAAAATATTTATAGAACAGCAATCTAACCATAATGCTTTCAGGGTGATACCCTAAACAAGTTTTAATGCGCACAAAGCATCTTGATCAATGTGGCTTAGCTTTACTTACGTCATTCTTACTGTAATGATCCAGTATCGAAGGCAGGAGTGGCAGAATCAGGGTGAAGCCCAGGAGGTCAATCAGGAGCGAGAGAAACACCACGCCGATGACGCGGGAGGAGCTGCCCTCTGCCCTCCGGACTTCCCGGTCCTCTTCCCGCAACATCTTCTGGAGGAGCCCGTTTGCCAACTATATCCTCAAAGCACCGCTCTGGAGAGAAGCAGCAAGTCAGAGGAAGGACTGGCCCGATTTCAGGGCCAGCTGCTCCCCGCGAAGCCCCTGAGGCTCAGCGGCCGCCTTTCCCCAGGCGTTTCTGCCCCCCCGACCCGGCCACTAGCGAGCCCCGCCAAGGAGGGGCCCGACGGCGGGCATCCTCCGAAGGAGCCCCCCCTCGAGTCCTCACCCCCGAGTACGGGGGTCCCCACCCCACCTTGGAAACTGCTGGACAGGTGGCTCTTCCCGAAGACCTTCGGGGACCGGGTGCAGGTTGCAGGGCCGTTTTTTACCTTTCTGTAATTTTAGCCTCTTCTTTTAGCTACTGCGTTAACCAATTTCCTTCCAACTTTGTATCTTGGTTTTCATCCTGCCAATTTTGCAAGCTGCCTCAGCTCTGGTCGGTTTCACAGGGTCAGATAAGAGTCGCCCAGAAACAAACAAACACCGACAGGAAAGGCATAAAAGCACAATCGCGAAAAGGCCACAAACTGGCGAGATAGCCAGAGGATGTATGAAACTGAGGGTGGGCCACAAGCGGTCACGGGGGGAGGCGACGGCGACTTTGGCAGGAGAGGCGGCCAGCGGCCAGGCCGGCAAAGGCTCTGTGGGGGCGGCCTGGGGCGCGCCGGAACAACAGCCAGGTGCTCGAGGGCATCGCCAGGCAAGGGGTGGCTTCTTGGTGCCCTCTGCGCTTGGCGGTTTCCCCACAGACGTGTTGAGAGCGGGCCGGGGGACATCCTGGGGCGGGGAATGCGTGGGGCCGGCCGGCTTCCTTGATCAGAGGACTGTTCCCTCCCCTAGGGCTCCTCTTCTCTGGAAACAGCCCCAGGCCACCCAGTGCGGCTGGGGGGGACAGGAGCCCAGGTCTCCCCCGCCCTCGCCCCTCACCTCCC